GCAGGTTCGAGACCTGCCTGGGCAGCAAGACCTCATCTCTACAATAAGTCAAAAAAATCAGCCAGGCATGGTAGCACAAGCCTGTAATTCCGTCTACTTGGAAGGCTGAGGCGGAAGGATTACCGGAGCCCAGCTGTCGAGGCTGTGGTGGCTGGGAGCGGCCTCTAGTCTGGGCGACAGAGTGAGACTCCAACTTAAAAAACAAAAAACAAAAAAACAAAAAAAACCCTGCAAGCTTTCCCATCTCTTGCTTGCTTCTCCAAGATCCCAATCTGAATTCATCTTTTCCATTAGCCAGTCCCACCCCAGCCACTCCCTCAGCTTTCTATTCATCATTGATAATAGAATATGTTCTTCCTTTTAGTAACTTCACATCTTGATTTTTCCCTTTGGGCTCTTTTTTTTTTTTTTTTTGAGTTGGAGTCTCACTTTGTTGTTCAGGCTGGAGTGCAGTGGCATGCTCACAGCCACCACAGCCTCGACCTGCTGGGCTCAGGGGATCCTTCCGCCTCAGTCTTCCAAGTAGCTGGAACTACAAGCACACGCCACCATGCCCAGCTACCCTTGGGATCTTTTTAATGTCTTGGGCAGAATTCAGGTCCATCATCGAAGGGATGATTGTTAATTAAGCTTGTTAGGTTTTGGAAATAACTTTAAGATAATAAACTAGGGAATGAGAAGTTTCGAGAGATTGCGAACACTAGGCTGGCACTGGTTCGAGAACAATCTACGACAGGAGAAGGGAGACAATAACCAGCGCACTTCCCCGAGAGGTGGTCTAAGCATGATTCTGGTTCCTTAACGGTTACCTGTTTAGAGTCCTGTATGCACCTTCCACATTCCCTTCCTGGACCATCACAGTCCTGGCAATGAACTTCAGATGTTTCGCCATGACCTTGAATTTCCGTCTCCTAAGGGATGATGGAGAAAGGGCAAGGGAGAAAGAAAGACGAACACAACATAATACGCACTTTATCGCGAGGCTTATTCGAGACCTGGAAATGCAACGTGCTCAGAGACACGCGAGTCGGGGCACATGCAAGTCTCCACATCCTAGAGAGTACACGCGACTCGTTATCGAGACGCCCTCGTCCTCTCTGCCAGCACAAACACAGGGACCAGACGGTCACCGGGCGCAGAGGACGGGAGCGGTCAGGACGCGCCGCTGGGCCCCAACTCCCAACGCAATCCCGAAAGGACTTGGGCTGGGAGTTTGGAGCGTCTACGTCGGTCTTTGGGAAGTGGGGGCATCAGCGCGCACCGGGCCCCCGTCCAGCCCCGCCGCCCCTCCCCAGCCCTGCACCAGCTCCTCACCGCACCTCAGCGCCCCGCC